CCAATGATTTCATTTTACATTTTTTGTGGTCCATCTTTCAAAATTTTTGACAGAATATATGTCTTACGGGTAATTTTTTCTCTACATTTCGTTTTTTCTAAAGAAGCAACTTTAGGCGGATTTACTGAAACATTTTACTTCCTTGACCGCAAAATTAAACAAGACTGCTCGTATCAAGGCGAAGCCCTGAATGTTCCGACTGCCTTTTAATGTCTATGGAGCAGTAATAACATTAAAAAATTAAATGAAATAAAACAAAATGAAAAACTTTTTTTCTAAAATTTGAATATTTTCATAAAAATCATCCCCCCACACAAAAGGTTGAAGTACAAAAGTACAAAAGGATAAATTTTGCTCCTTGTAAACTTCGCTCTTTGCCATAAAATCACTTATGGGATTAAATCTTTGCTTACGCGTTAATAGCGGGAAATATATCGCGCGTTAATTGTCCCAAATTGCCCAAAATGGCAATCTTTAAACCCCCGTAATTTCACGAAAAATGATCACAGGTGAAATATCTTTTCAAATTTGAGCTCAGGACAACAATACTTTTTGAATGATATTAAAAAAATCCTTCAAAAATGGCTAGTTAAAAAGTCGAGTTTTGTCTGAAGAAAACAAACCCACCCCGAGCACAAATTTTCCGTTACTTTCGTATCGAAAGTCGGAACAAAAATTAACTAATCAGTGATCATTTTGGTGAAATGAAAAGGAGCTTGGAAATTACTATTGTGGCTAATTCGGGACAGTTAACATCAAATTTCACTACCAAACTAAAAGTCACTAATGCAAAATCACTATCAAACATAAAAGTCACCAAAATTAAAGAGATTGAAAAATGTTTTTGTGACCAATTCGGGACAATTAACACAATTGATAAAACGCCTAATAAAAACACATTTCAAGTTTTTATTGCGCGATTTATTCCGGCTCCAAATTCAATCCAAATTGAGTAATGACAAGCTATTTGGTCTTGTTAATGCATTACTAGACGCTACATTCATCACTTCATATTTTTGATACGTTACACCAATTAAATTTCAAAAGTCCCAATTTCAGGCCAGTTGAAACATTCAAGGACTGTTTTGCCCTTTGTTACCAGTTACAATGTGACAAAAACAAGAAAAAACTCAAGCATTACTATATCTCAAACATAGTCGAAAAACATCACCATTCCAAAAAACAATACACGTAAAATGCGTGATGCTCCAGGATTTTAAAAGTATTGCTTCCTATTTTTAACATGACTAGGAACTATATTTCAATAAAAAACTGCTGTTTTTGAGATATAAATGCATTAATTGTGATTCTGAAAGAAAATAAAACATAAAACATTGTAATAAAATTAACGACACAAACGTGTTTGTTTTAACCTGAAAAAAAATATATAAATTCGAGTCTTTTTATCTTCTTAATACGAGCGTCAATAAAAATGCAAAATAGTTGATTATCATTTAGGAATCTAGGCTTTTGTTTGTACAAAGAGTTATACTGGAACAATGTAATTTCTTTACCGATAATAGAACTTGCAAAAATTAGAATGCTCGTGAATATAAAAAAAAAATGCTCCTGTATCAGGGCAAAACTGTGAATTTTCCAAATACACTTAAAAGTCAATTAAAAAGTTTTTTGTTGAACATTGGAAAGATTAAAATTAAGAAACAATTGTAAAATTAGTCGTGATAAAACTTTATGTTATTGTTCCGGCTTTCGAACAAAACGGAATATTCGTGCTCGGTGTGGTTTTTTTATTCAGTCAGTTTTCACAGTTGGAAATTTTATTTTTCAACAAAAACTTTTTTTACCCTATTGAAGATATTGAGTTCCTGAGTTCAAATGTAAAAAGATAATTTACCTCCATATATTACCAAATGTAAACAGATATTTTTTTGTAAAATTCTCGGGGTTTGAAAGTTGCCAAATTTGCCATGTTCTGGACTACATTATGCGGGCTTTCAAGAGTTTATTCATAGTGCTGAGAGCGTAACGCGAAACGTTTATGCGTGGCGAATTATCCGCAAAACAAAATCGTTCCAAATTGAATTGAGGCTAATTAATTGGTGGTCGTATTAATCTCGTACGACTCAAATATTTACACTTCGATTTTGTCCAAAATGTATAGGTTTTCAATATTTTTCCCCAAAAACTATTCGATATGAATTAAGGGACAGTCGGAACTTTCAAGGCTTTGCTCTGATATACGAGCAGTCTTGTTCAATTTATACCCTAAACGGTAAAATAAGTTTAAAAGAGATATATTTCGCGTCTCATCGTATAGTACTAGGACTAAACGACCTGCCTCAGTTCAATTTGAAACGCATTGATCCGCCGCTTACGAGCATCATAAAACGCAAACTAGTAGTTATTATACCAATTTGGCCAAACTAGTCATTTTCAAACCCAACAACTAATCATACGTGAAAATCTTTTGAAGTTTGGGCACCAAATAACAATGTTTTTCAGATGGCTTAAAAACTTTGCAAAAACGCCTAGTTCAAAATTCGAAAATTGACTGACAACAAAAAATACCCCCAGCTTTTCTTCAAAAATTGGAGCAATAACCTGACTATCGTTATTTTTTAAAGAAAAAGCAAATAAGCAAGTGACAAGGCAAAATTGCTCGTGTATTCGAAGTTGATTGGAATTTAGATTTGTGAGCGTGGAATTAACATTCCCGTGTTAACTCTGGTGGCCCTTTTTTTGTCCAAAATCTATCGAAATCAATTCATAAGTCATTGTCGGTGAGATATATTAAAACAATCGATTTGCTCACTTTGTCGTATACTTTCTAGTTCAAAATTGGAAACTATTTGACGATCTTCTTAAGAGTGTTTGAGAATTAGGATTGTTAAGATTGTTTAAGATTAAGATTGTGAAATTCGAAGTCTTATTTATAAAAGGTGAAATTTAATGGTGGCATGTCAATGAGCAGAATGTTCCATGAGCAGAAATGGTCGAAGAAAAACTCAAAATGTTTTTTGACTTACATGGGAAAACGAGCAACCCAATTAAATTTCATTCCAATCAACAGTAAAAGACTAAAACTTGGTTGCTCAAACAGCCTAAACAACAAAAACAACTGCCGCAAACTTTTGTGAAAGGTTGGGAAAGTTTGAATCACTGCAAAACAGAGCACATATGCTTCATCGAGAGCACTCTCTACACAATTTGTAACGATTCAAACTAACAATTTTGAAAAAAAAAATAAACTTTTTTTCAGATCAACTCGAAAAAGTTTTGGGTTCTCGTTCTAGAATCAATTTGTTTTTATCTTACACCCAGTTTCTGTTATTTTTTTCATTTTCAGAGAGAATTTTTGGGATAGTTATCTTGCAAGAATCGTGCAAGATTCTTGCAAGATAGCCTCCTTCTTCCAAGATTCTTGCAAGATAACCTCCATCTTGCAAGATCTTGCAAGATAACCTCCATCTTGCAAAATCTTGCAAGATAGCCCTCTTTTGCAAGATTATTGCAAGAATCTTCCAAGATCTTGCAAGATAACCTCCCTTGATCGACCTAGGGTTGACAATAGACGCTATGACTTTATACCAAAGTTACAACCCCGTTATCACTAGCGCTCACCAGTTTTCCATTATATTTTCCCGCTCTTTCGGCCATTCTGCTCCTGGGACCATTCTGCTCCTGGGACTATTCTGCTCTTGGGACCATTCTGCTCTAGGATTAATCTGCCCCGCTCCGCCTCCAAATTTAATCTCAGATTTTAAATTTTATGGTCATAATTAGTTCATTTCTTTTATCATTACGTGGTAGCAAATTTTTGCAAATAGATGCATCTGTGCAGAACTCTCAGCCAATTTAGTTTTGAATAGCAACTTTTCTCTTCTCTGAAAATATTGGTTTAATTACTGTTGTTTCAAAACAGCAGTTTCAAACCCAATTCTTCGGTTTTGAAATACTTCCCTTGATACACTTTGAGGCAAATCTGATTGCTGAGACAATTTGCCAATAAGTTTTCGTTTCAAATACAAGAAAGATTTCCAAATTTAAATGTCGAAACACTTGATTTTTTTGGTTTTGTTACATCTTTTGTTGGCGAAGGAGAGCCGATGTTACAGACCTTTTCTGATGATCCATGGGATAAACTCCGATTACACCAGCATGCACCAAATAAAATCATGGGTTAACGAAGACTTCCCGGAGATGTTGACAGTATCGCTGGACGCGTTTAACAATCAGTACAGGTGAGTCAGTTTTGTTCAGCTGCCAAATTTTTTCAAGACAAAATTTTTTGAAAACTTTCAAAATATAAAAATTATAAATATAAATATGATAAAATTGATACATAACTGAAGACAAAAATGGAGGCCTAGAATTTTTCATGAGGGACCGACGTACTGTGAATTTTTTAAGCCAGTTAGAGCTGGTTTTTATTAAAAGGTCGCTATGGAAAACCTTTTTTTAAAAATATTAATTAAGTTAAATATTTTAAATCTTTTAAATATTGTTAAAATTTAAATATTGCGCTTTTAATCAATTTTTTAGAAAAAAAAATAAAAACGGTAGCATCAGTAAACGTTTTTTTTTCATTAAGCTTCTAGCACAGAAAGACTCGTATAAGAAGGAAAACAACAGTTTCATTTCGCAAGCCTATAATCCGCATGAAAACAGCTCGAACCGAATCAATAACTTGAATGCTGGTAAAAAACCGAGTCCATTATTTCAGTTTTTTCCATTTTAAAACAAAAATCATTATTAGTTCTTCAACATTTTTTTAAGGTTGATTAAATCTATCTATTTTAGGAAAAACAACATCAACCCATTAGAGACCTTGCACGATTTTCAGCCCATATAGTTATTAGCGCAGGGCAGGGGCGGATCTAGGATTTTCTCGAGGGGGGAGGGCGGATTTTCAAAAAATTTTCGAAAATTTTGACGACCTTTTTTTAGGTCGACAAAACTGATTTTCCGGGTCTCCTAAGCACTAAAAAGACCCTGTTATTTTAAGAAGAGTTTTAGGGTCGGTCTGCCATAAATGGTTTTCTTAAAAAGTACCGAAGGGGGGACCCTTTGGGTCGGCAGGGGGTCAAATCCCCCCTAAATCCGCCCCTGATGCAAGGTATTTTTTGCAACTTTGATTTTTATTATTTTTATGATTCAAATTTTGTGACATTTTAGCATTATAACACTAACAACTCAGGTTCCGCACTTCGCAGAGATGGTGAAGAACATCACGGATATTTACGGAAGCGTGAACTTGTTGGGTTACTCGCAGGGTGGAATTGTTGCCAGAGGGGTTATTGAAATGGGGAATAACCCGAACATTAACAACTTTATTTCACTATCTGCACCAGGTAATAGCATCGAAATTGGTCAAAATAGGGTCTTTATAGGGATTTGGTAGACTGAGCTCAGAAAATCATTAGCTCCATTACCAATGATGAATCCATTATACAGCTCTGCTCATCTTGCTGATTGTATTCAACTGAATTGAGCTGCAGCTCAAAATTAGCAGCTCATATAATTTAATCCTATTTTAAACTTTCGTTTGATATTAAAATACATGACAAACAGAAGGCTCGAGAAAGTATTTTCTGGAAGTTTTCAAACCGACCTGCAACTAGTGTAGTTGCAGTTTTTTATGAAAAAATGCTTTGTTCAGACCCCAAAAAGGTGAAACGAAATGCAGCTGCATTCATTTAACAACAATACAAAAGATAGTTATTTGATAATCGATGTATTAAAACATCATTTTAGGTCTGGGCGAATACGGAGTCCCTTTTCTCAATTCTACAGGATTTTTTGAAAACGTGCTCTCCGGAGGTGTTTACAAAGTGTGCTACAACAAAGCCGGTCAGCTTATTTCGGGTTGTAACTACTGGAATGATCCAAACCAACACGAACTCTACCTCTCCAAGAACGTCTATCTGCCATTCCTAAATAACGAAATCAAACATGAAAACTCGAGCAAGTATAAAGAAAACTTCAGCAACTTGAGTCGGCTGGTTTTGATAGGAGGACCTGACGATCACGTGATTCAGCCGTGGCAAAGTGCACAGTATAGTTTCTGGGATGAAGAATTGAATGTTGTTCCTTATAACCAGCTGGGTTATTACACTGATGATTTGTTTGGCCTCAGGGCTTTAGACGAGCAAGGGAAGATAACTTTCTGTACCTTCCCTGGTGTTCATCACACCCATTGGCCCCACAACAGAGAAGTGTATGAAAAATGCATCAGACCCTATCTTGGTTGAGAGCCGTCACTAACAGGGGTACGGCGTAACAAAAAGAAGACAGATCATAAAGCAGACATATTTCAGGCCAATCAGAATCGAGAAAAGGAAACAAGCGTACGCGAGAACAATAAATAATTTTTTATTTCCCACGTTTGTTTTCTTATCTTGATTGTGATTGCCTCACATGTGTCTTTTATGACCTGTCTACTTTTTGACCGCACTCAAAATGACAGAAACTGATTTTATGTTCAATACTTTAAAAATTTTGCAGAAATATATTTATTAACGAATATTCTAAAAATCATATTAATTGCAACCAATGAGACACTTTGTAAAAAACTTGTGAATGACCCATCAAAATCAATCTTAGTCTTTTGAAAACTTTATATAAATCTATTTCAGTCATTTTCGAAAAAGTAACTTGAGAAATTTTAAGCAGCTTGTCATACTGTATATCAGGGGCGGATTAAGGGGGGGGGGACACCTCTCTCAGGGATTCGACCCAAATTCGGGTCCCTCTTTTGGTACTTTTTAAGAAATCCTCTTTTGGCCAACAGATTCTAAAATTTTTCTACAGGCGGAGCGCGCGCCGAAAAAAATAACGCGATTTTTTGTCAACATTTTCTAAAAAGTGCCCAAAAACGGCTTTTTGATCATTTTTTTTTTCAAAATTGGTCGACTTAAAAAAAGTTTCGAAAGTTTTTATGAAAATCCGCCCCCCTCGAGAAGATCCTAGTTCCGCTTCTACTGTATATAAATTTTTTCATCATTAGCTAGTAGTTTTCTGTAAAATAATTAAGCCGGAGTTGAGTTATCTAATTTGCAATGAACCCTGGTTACCAATCTATTTAATTTGCATACTCAGGCGTGTGATTTAATTTAAAAAACTGATGTGCTTTCATTTTAATTACTATGAAATAAAACTTGAAATTGTTTATCTAATTAAATTTTATGATTTACATGACTGTTTTTTATTATTATGATTTGTTCATTGATATATTGGCTATAAATAAACTAAAAATGTCGCCAAATGAAGCTCAAAGATAATACCAGCTATGTAAACGTTTTTTTTGCAGCAACAGAAAAATTGACATGAAACAGAAAAATAGAATTGAAAACTACATCTGTTTTCTGCAATCCTTTTTGATAGAAAACGCTTTTGCTCGATTTCTGATCAATTTAAATCTAAATTAACGATGTTCATCATCAAAACCAGCCAAAAAAAAACAAAAAAAATTGCATAATATATAAAAAACGATATGTGGAGATTTAACAAAAAAGGAAGTATTATCATCACTTATAATTGTGAAAACTGTTTGCACACAGGTAAGCTTCATTTGTCACATAATTCAATTTTAGCACGGTTCATTTACCCAACAGCCAGTACAGTAATGAAATTGCAAAGCAGCCGGTTAAAAATATTTTACTTTAGCTCCAGCATTTTAAGGAGTTCTAGTGAAGCTTATTGTGATTAGACAAACAAAAATGAAAATCAAATATTATAAGGATAAAAGACAGTAATGAAGAAATTTTTAACCGGATTTTGAAAACAATCCAAATAGAACAAAAAATTAAAAGTAACAAGACTTGCCCGCAAAGCCCTGAATGTTCCGACTGACTTTTAAGGTCTATAAAGCAGTGTTTGCTTTAAAAAAATGATGCAAAGATGCATTTTTTGAAGAAAAAAAATACAATGTACATTTTTATAAAGTTCATCCCTCAACACGCCATATAAAGTACAAAATGATAAATTTGGTGCCTAGAAAATTAGGCGACAATAAATTTAAACAACCATAATAAAAAAAGAATTTAGAAAATAACTCTTTGTGAATTTAGAAGATTAAGAACTGGGCTAACAAAATGCTCTGTTTAGAATAAAGGTATACAAAAACAAAAAGAAAATTTGACACAAAACTAATCGAATCTGTTATCGTAAGTTAATTATTAAACATTAAATTGAAAAACAAGTTAATAATTTTTGAACACATAAGTTACAGAAATGTGACATAAATAACCTGATTTTCGGTTGGACAGCCACAGCCAAGATTTACTCAAACAAAAGTAAATTTAAATCTGTAAATAAATCTCACACAATTTGCACGCAAGTTATTGTCTAAACTCCGTTATTTAAGCTTGCTTGTCGTCTAATTTAATAAGCCCCGATGAATTTTGCTTCTAGTAACGTAGAAATTATGACAAATAGGCTGTTTCAACCAGTTTGGAACAACTTCTTTGAGGGACTAAATCTCCTCTTACGCGTTGATAGCGCGAAATCTAACGAGCGTTATTTGTCGCAAATTGGCCGTGTTGCCAATCTTTATACCCTCATAACTTCAAGAAAACGATCACAGATAAAATGTCTTTTTAAATTTGATCTCACGACAACAATACCTTTCGGCTGATAATAAAAAAAAATCTCAAAAACTTTTTATTAAAAAGTCGAAATTTGTTTGAAGAACCCGGGCACAAATATTTTATTAGTTTCGTTACAAACGTCGGAACAAAAACAACAAGGATAGCCGGTTTCTGCGCAAGCAATAAAAAGTAACGATACCATTTTTTTCAAAACTGTATGAATGGCGTCGGTTAATTAAACTTTCGGATGCGTTTCTTACCAAATACAAAAAAAAGAAGTTCTTTTCACCGGAGAAACGAAAAACCAACCTGAAGAAAAAAAAATTAAGTGAATTTGCCTGTTTCAATAATATGTGTTTTTTGTAAATTTTCATGCCGACAAAGAGGCTCACAAAACTTAGAAAAACTGTTCATGCAAGCTAAACACACTTTACAATGTCATATACGCTTTATGCTATTTAATCTCTCAGTTCACTTGCTCGAAAATAAAAGAAAAATTTTTAAACTGATTTTTTTCGACGCTGCAAGATTTTTTTGTAAATTTTCAAAGTTCTTCAAAGTACGTCTGTTAGAGATTTAGCATGATAGATCATCCGATCTACTCTGAAAATTATTTTGTAGCCTAAACTTAAAAAACAATCATAATAAAAAGGAAACTATAGGACATCCAAAGGCAAAGTTTTTCCCTTTTTTGTGGTCAGAAGAAAATATAAAAATTATGATAAATGATGAATCATCAGAAAGATAAAACTGTTACACCAAATGAAATTTGACCAATTTTGTGATAATGATTATTCTGATGCAAAAACTTAAAGTTGCATTTATTCTTGACTGAATCGGAAAACTCGCATTGGAGTTCCATGAATAGAAATCGATGATTAAATTGAGTTCACTGTCAGTGTCCACAAAAAAATCGATTATAATTAAATAAAAATGGATTTTAATATTACTATTTATCGAGGAAACAAAATCCTTTCTTAATCCATTATAATCGATTTTGTTTTGACTTTTGTGGACACTGATAATAAAACTCAATTATAATAGATTTTTCTCATATTGCTGAGATGGAATTCCAACGCAAATAAAGTCCTTTCTACGTTTTAAACTAAAGTTGGATAATTTTGATTAAATAAAAATTTTGATAATTTAGTTTCTTTTTTATGCTACTCAATAGCTGAATTTTAATCCTTTCAACTCTGCCAGTTTCTATTCCCTCCAATGTTTGCCCTTTGCCCCCCTTTGGACCCTTACACCCGCCATCCCCCACCTGAACCAATCTCAACCCTGCCCCCACCTGAACCAACCCTCCACCAAATGGATCCCAACGAACCAACCCCCCCCCCCCACCACACACACACACACACACATACACACACACACACACACACTCACCACACCTGAACCGGATCAGAGGGTAGGGTGGTTTCAAGTGGATGGGGGGGGGGGTTGTTGGTTCAGGTGCGGGGGTCGGGTGATTCAGGTGGGTCGGCAGTGGTTCATTGTGGGGGGGGGGGGGTCCCAGAAGGTCAGGTGGGGGCAGGAATTACTCACTTGTTAAATGCAGGAATTCTTGCGAAACGAAATTAAAGTGGAAAAAAATCCATTTTAGTATGATTTTGTACTTGTTTTATAATCCATTATAATGGATTTCAAATGAATTATACTGAAATTCATTTTTTGTACAATTTTGTTGTCTAAGCCTAACATGGGAGTCGATTATATTGACAAAGTTTTAGCCCACAAAAATCAATTTTAATAATTTTTTTTTCACTTTTCTTAGATGCAGGATGGTACATTTCCTATGTGAAGTGATTGCATCACAATGCATCACTGTTCGGTGAGCGAAAATACGAAGCGTTCAGCTCTTAATTAAAAAACACAAGAAGGTGAAAAATCTGGTGCAACATGACTATCATATTGATTCTGTTTTGTACCGACCATGGTTAATTTTAACACGCAAAATCAGGTAATATTAACTAAATCTTTGATACAGCTATTATAACGTGATACAGCTAATCGCTTCTCAGATTTGTTACCGTTTTGTATTAATTTTATTACCGTTCTGCCATATTGCTTACTTATTTGTCTTTTATTTCATCATTGATCTATGCTAAAGTTGTTAATTTATTGTAGCGACATTTTTTAAATAGTAGTGCAAAATCGAGATTTCTGAAGCGAAACCAATGCGGGCAAGAAAATGAATTCGAAAACTCCTTAAACAAAATAGAAAATAATCTATTTTAAGTGGAATTAGCGCTGCATAATGGGACAATACTGGTAAAAAAAATTTAAAAAAAAAATTTAAATGACAATTCTCATTTGTTTTCTCTTTTGAAGCAGGGGGAGCCTAAAACTTACCTTTGCTGACTAAATTTCAAAAAAAATTGCAAGCAGTAAACCTTCATCAGTTTTGCTTGTAAAAGATGAAGTAAAAGTTTTCAGACCATTTTCTCTTGTCACTCAACTTCTCTAAATGGTGTTTTTTTTTCTGGAATTCAATGATTTCAATAACCTAGTCCATAGCTCCTTCTAATCTATATGACACGACAGTTGATTATATTTTGAGTTTTGTTAGATTTACTAAAAATTGTGTAAAAAAGACTGCCAGATTCATAGTTTCTTAAAACTAGAGATTAATCGGAATAACAAAAGAAACGAATTGTGTAAATGATTTTAAAAAACTGATGTTTTTAAGCTTCGTGCGCAGCTCAAGAATTAATTTTTGTTCTCTTGGTAACTATAACTTGGTAATTTATAAACAATTTGACCAAGTCAATATAACCAACAAGTTTCTTCACTATTTATTATATACTCTTGTTATCTTTTGAACTATTACAACTACGCCTATTGCTAAAAAATTTACAAGGTACGAAAAGGAAATTTAAACAATTCCTGAAACAATTAGAGAACGTTTGA